TATCGTCCGAAACGTTGGCAATTTCGCATTTGATATCGTTCCTGACCTTATTTAACGTTGTTAGCTTGTTGGCATATATCAATGACTTAACGTAACCATATAAAAAGTAATCCAGCGGTCGCATGAGTGAGATTACACGATTATCGAACTTCCTCATCTTTCTGCAATAGGCCGCTTGTTCGACAAGCTGTGTGACCGCTGCAAATGTGCTCGCGGTGGTCATATGAACGAGATCAAATTCCATTCTTAAATGTAAAATTTGTACTGCAAATGGAATAGATTTCAGCTGGATATCGCAATTATTGTGTTTTATTGAAACACAAAGTTGTTATGTTCTTATTGGAAATTAGATTTTTGTAACGAAGTTGCACACAACCTTACCAATTGTGAAACTTACTAATACGTATAATACGGATACGATACTGCAACTGCGGTAATTCTCGAGACTGCGCGAGAATTTTCTGGAAGACGCACGATCTGTTTTTGAGCACGTGTCTAGTTTATATGTTACACTATTACCATAAAGTTGCTATGGTTAGAAGTGTTCGCTTATGATTCGTAATGATTTTATTTGTGGAAACTTCTTTTATGATAGAAAGTAATGGGACGAACAAGTAGTACGCCTGGTGTTAAGCGACACGCTTGTCCATTGCAGTTTCAGTGCCATTTAGAGGTTCAAATCGCAAATACCTAATAATACTGCCACTGCGTCCGTCACTCTGAGACATGGGAAATTCCATGTGCCTATAAAACCGGAAGGGTACCTTAGTAGCGTAAACGTAGCGGCAGCGACCACTTCCAGGTTTTAATGCTCCAAAAAAAAAGATATCCAGTCTATTCTTTCCTGTCAACACGTATTTGCGTGGTAGCGCATTGTCGTGAAATATACGAAAAGGTATTCTCATATAAATCTGTCGTTTGTTTTTTCGTAAACACTTTTATTTTTTAATTTCCATTTTTGTCTCCGACAAATGGAGCGAGATGTATTGTACGGGATTTATTGTAGACATTTGTCACGTTGAACGTTTTTCGCTTTTAAATTGTTGGCTTTGGATTATTTGTAGCTTAGGCGCTGTTCTATTTTTGAATATAAAAAAAAAGAAAAAGTTACATCTCCACGTACGTAATGACGGCAGAAAAGAACGTTTTGAAAATTAATTAATAAATATAACGAAAGAGACGTTTAATACACGAACTTTATAATACGAAAAATACAACAAATAAAGTGAAATAAGGAAAAAAAGAACATTACACTACATAGTTGTAATACTAAGCTTATTCACAGTCGCGCTTGTAGGACCATCGGTATAGAGTCAGCCGATTACCAGGCTCTACGTCGTAGTAACTCTCTTTATCTTTTTTTTTACTGTTCTTTTAATTTTTTACTAGCCGATGACACGAATATATCGATGACTTTCTAGAAGTGCGGCCTGTTTTAAAACCACCTAATTGATTAGGAAGGTCGTTTAGAAGACGAACGAGTTGTATTTTTTTATGATAGCAGGTGACAGGACGAACCAGTAGCGCATCTGGTAGTAAGCGACACGCCTACCCATAACAGTTGCAGTGCCACGTAGAGTTTTAAATCGTAAAGATTTGAAAGGCACTGCTAATGTGACCGTTATACAGTGACATATATTGACAAGTCCCATGTGCCTGTGACTTCACAAGTACCCTTCAAAACCGGAACACAAGTAATGCTGATATTACTTGCTTGGCGACAGAAATAGCCAAGACAGTACTTCTGTTGCAAACGCAACAGAATTTTTGTAATAAAATTTAATATAATTTTCAAAGCAGTAATTAAACGCACGTCAAGGGCACATTACGTAGGCCGGGGGTTCCATTTTGGACTAATAAACTTACACCACATACATCTTATTTCATTCCTACCCAATTTAACGAACTTTTGTACGAACTAACAAAGGTCAAAAAGGGCGTTAATTTTTTAATTGTACTTCTATAAGAAACCACCACTGTATGGCGATTAATGGCACTGCTCCTGTAAACCAGCAACCTAATGCCAATATATTACAGTCAACTTAAATCGTCTTTAATTCTACGAGCGCTTCGAGCGAGATCCTCTACATCTTCTACTTGGGTCTGGCAGCTACAACTTCTCCAAACGAACGCTTTCACGACTCTATTGCTACTAAAAGTCGTAATTAGTGATGTCAGTAATAATATTGTCCTGTTAGGTTGTTTCTATTTTATAAATAACCCTGTATAAACTGCACGCCCAAAAAGCTATTGGCTATATTTTAAAATCTAAAAGGGTACCATCGACAGTTTAGAACGTCCGTAACCAATAACGTTTAGTTTCCTGTTGGCTGAATATATGACTCTATCGTTACTTCCATTACCGGTCGTTAATTGGTGTGCTTACCCTGCAAATATATTTGTTTAGCAAAATGTTTGTAAAATGGTAACATTTTCTCGATAAAAGCTATTTCAGCATAGTGTGAAATTGCATGCGTCATCAGAGTAGATATCCGAGGAACCTATCACACAGATTCAGATTCAGATTCATTTATTTCTCAAATATAACATTACAGTATAAATTGCACTACATGTCAAAGTATAAGAAATTATATTGAGATCGTCAGACAAAAAGGAAAATTATAAGAAAAGCACACAATAATTAGAAAATTAACAATTCATTATATAATATTGTTGTCATTAAATTATATATCAAATATCATTCTCCATCAAGGATCGTCATAGGTTGATAACAATTATACAAGAGTATGTTAATGCGGTAAAAATTAGAATAAAAATAGAAAATACTGAATTCGTTACAATTTAAAGTCTATAAATTCTTTTACAGAGTATATAGGATTTTTCAAGAAAAGGTCTTTCACGCTTGGCATAATAAGATGACAACTTTTCGTGAGAGAGTACAGTAGAGCTCCTTGTGAAAGAGTTCCTAACACAGTATGTAACTGTAACTGTTATGGACAGGCGTGACGCTTACCACCAGGCGCATGACTTGTTCATCCTATCATTTAGTATCATAAGAAGCAGAGAGGCTTAAAGGATTCTGTGAACGAAATTAATCGATACCTTTTTATTTATTTATTTATTTATTTCATTTTATACCTTAGATTTCTTTTTTCACAATTTCTTCGTACAAAGTTATAGCTATGTTAGTTATACTCGTATCTATAAAAATATTTAAAATATAATATACATATTTCAATCACCGCTTCGCGATGCCATTTGAAATCGCACAGAAGTGATTCATAAATATACATACATATACTTCACGCCTTTTTCCCATCGGGATATGCAGAGACAACAGTCTTCCACTTGCTACGGTCCTGACACACATCTTTCGCCTCATCAACACGCATCAATGCTTTCATACACGCTCGTCGGTTAAGGGTACTCTTGACCTGGCCCTTCTTTAGGATGGCCTCAATTTGGTCATGATAAGTTCTCCTTGGTCAGCCCATACCAACTTGCCCGCTCACACTCGCCTTATAAATCTGTTTCGTCACTTTTCTTTCATTCATTCTCTCTACATGTCCGAACCATCTAAGCATCCCTTTCTCTATCTTTGTCATATCTTCTTCCACGCCGCAACGCTCTCTTATCACACTGTTCCGTAATTTATCCATCCGAGTCACTCCAGCCATACTCCTCAAAGCTCTCATTTCTACTGCATTAATTCTACTTTCATGCTTCTTCTGCCAAACCCAACATTCACTACCATACATAAGTGTAGGAACCAGCACCCCCCCATGCACAGCCAATCGTGCCTTTTTAGACACTTTCTGGCTGCCCATGAAGGTATGCAAGGCACCATTCACCTGATTCCCTGCGTTCACTCTTCTTTCAATGTCTCTTTCACATTTTCCATCACACGTAAACATAGAACATGTAGTCAAGTCAAGATAGTCAAGGCTGTTGGAGATTATTTTCAGGATACTATTGGAGCTGCGCCTCACCCTGCACATTAGTGAACAAGATAGAAAAAACAATGCAATTGCCATAAGCCTCAATTACTATCAGAACCGATGTCGCCAAAACTCACACATTCTCAATTTGAAACCACTTTGAAACACTATGAAATCTTAATATTGATTGCCCGTAGTTTCAAATTTAGAAAGAAGTTAACATAATTTAAACTTTACCCTGTTGGCATAACGTTCAAAGTTCGATACCATCAATACCTATTATTGAAAGTTACAACGTTTCGATATCATATCGAAATTTCAATCGATATGCTGCCATCTAGCGGTTAATTGCTGAACGACGACGATTTGGTTTTATTAATTTAGTTCTACAAAATAGAAGAGACCATTATTCCAGGGTTATATAGGTATAAGGTTAACTTTCGTTTCTTGTAACAAAAAATATTTCGACAAACAGACAATAGAAAAATTACTAAAATAATTAAAATTAAAATAATTCCCGATGATATGAAATGCCACCACGATCAATATTTTTGGTGCAGCTATCATTTTTGTACTCCAAAACAGCACAATAAGGCATTTTTCTAGGATTTTAGAGAATTCGCATGAAAGAATAACCACACCATACCATACAAAATACGAAAATGGCGGACTTAGGTCAGATAGGTCTTTCGACACCTTATAGTAGGCACGCGTCAGACGCTACCTAGCCACTTCTACTGTATTTATTGTTCTGTGCTAATGAAGCACATCTTTTACACCTTAAAAAGACCCATATAGGGAGTTTGTGCCATTAGAAACAATGTTTTTTGAAGTCGTATAAAGGTAGGTTGAATTAGGTAAAAAACAAGGTTGAATTAGGTCACTTTAATTCTAAAGGTTATACGCATAATGCGTTATATATACGTTGCAAAAGTTTAAAATGAAATGATGTGAGTTTAACGTTTTAATGAGGAAACAAAATTGTAAATTAAGGATTTTAATGTTTAAAACATATTTGATAAATCAACGCAATTTAAACAAGAATAATATGTAGTCTTATAGAGCGTCCTCAGTTACTATTTAATGTGTCATTAATACATATTATGAAGGTAATGGCACAAAAAAAGGCATGAAAAGCAAAAACAAACACAAGTACACAATGACACAAATAATAATAAAAGCTGTGTTAACAAAATTTGTAAAATCGTTCCAATCCTCCGTAGCTTTCCTTTCTATTTCTTCTGACAAAGTCAAATAATTGATTTCAGCTTCCCATTTTGGCCATAAAAGATGCTTTATAAAACTGTTATTTACATAATTATTTAACAAACTTACAAATGAAGGTGGTGGTACTTTCCTTTTTCTCAAAAATTTAAGAGTAAAAGTCAAAAGAACACTTATACAAGCCAACAATAGAGAGCCTCGAGTGAATAGCAGAATTTTAGGAACATTCCGACTATGCTTCGGCAAATTAAAACTGATATTATTTAGTATTATATAGTGTAACCATAAGCTAATATACAATAGACCTAATCTTACATCATTATTCACACATAATAAAGAAGAAATCAGTGTTAATAATAATATTATTACCGATGGAACTACAACTATTGAACCGAGTAATTCAGATTGTCGTTCAAGTCCAAAAGTGACGGTTAGTTGTTCAGTTTTGTTATGATCTTCTGTTTGATTATAAGATACAACAGTCCAACCCATCAAATATTCGTTGCCCAACATGCCAATCCCTTTTTTATTTGCAAAAGTAAATTGCACGTTAGGTTTTGTGACTGATCTGATCCACTCGCCGAAACGGAAGGTACAGCTTTGAGTATCGTATGGCCAGTTTTGCAAATCAGTGCTGCAGAAGGTTTGGTAAAGTAATTTCGGGTAACAGATCACCTTACCAGTGTATCTTACTCGACACAACGTATAGAGAAAGTCGTAGTCAGTGGTGTCAGCTGTATTAAAGAGTCTAAGACCGGGGGTCCAAATCTTGTAGCTCATTATTTCGGTCTTTGCTAAATTTCCGTATTTCGCTGGGTCCCAACTTAATCTTTCATCGTTCCAGATTAACACAACCCAGCTGTATATGTTAAATAATTCCTCATCATCTGAAAATTTTGCTGTTTTTGGATAAAATTTCACACCTACTACTATAGGTTTGGAGTTGTTGGTTTTTGGTGGCAAATTAGTATTGAAATTGCACAGTAAATCTTTGACCAGTTGGTATTCAAATGAAGAATCTCTTGATGAATTATCCAGCACACAGTCTTCACAGAAAAAAAGACATGGTAATAATATAAATATAAAATATATCAACGGACACATGTTGTACATTCGAGATATATTTTTGGACTGCTTTGGCGATATGAGAGAATATCAAACTATGAAATTTTATATTCGAATACGCCCCTCGTGATAACTGCGTAATTTTGAAACAGTTATAGATAAAAGTGTAATCTGTTTTAATTCAGTTAGCGCATTTGACCTCCATCTCATCTGATCACAAGTGACGATGAGTTTTTTTACAACAGTCTTGTCAAAAAGCAGGCAGGAATTTAATAATAATATCGCACACATTCAGAGCCCCGCATTAGGGAAATCCCACGGAAGAAAAAACAATGGAAATGCCAGTATTTATGTGGTCCGTGGAAGTGCCATAAGCACACCACAGACACATACAACAGTCTAAAGTTATTTACCTACTACTACTACTACTACATACAGCACGGCGCTATCTGCACACGCGCAAATGTGTGCGTGAAGTGGCAGGTTTACCCATCACTTTCTCGTACTACGCACACGCACACGCACTTGCACACATTCAACATATCCCCGCACTAGGGGAACCCTGTGTCGCGGTTGCCATGGACACACACATAGACAACCACAAATTACGCCCAAACCCACGAGAGAAAAAATGTAGGCCATACAAATATTTCTTCCGGCCTGGGAATTGAACCTGAACATTCGTCCACAGAGGCAGTACTATTACGTTACGTGGTCAGAGCGGCAACATAGCGAGAATTCTAATGCGAATCTGTTATATATAATTCTATTCATAGAATCCTAATAATTATACATGTTCATTACGTATTCATACGGACATAATATTATATTTTTCATGAAATAATTCACTAACTAGAATAATATTAAAGATTTATTTAAAAAATTTTATTAAAAGCACTTAAAATGTTATATTTTGGACAAGTACTTTTAAATCAAGGTAACCAAGGTATTGGAAAGTGCTTGTCCACGTTTATCATTATCTAGTTAATAATTAGGTATATTCACTGCGTAATGTTTATCTGCAATACAAATTGAAAATTCAAGAACCCTTGTCTACTAGCTCACGAATTTATTATTATTGATACAATAAATCTGTGCTATGGTGTTATATAATAGGGGTTAAAGTATGAAATTGCCGATTTGTACTGAAAATCTAAATTGTTTATTTTTTAAATTTTTAACAAATTTATTTAATCAAAATAGTTGCCATTATTATCTATACATTGCTGCCATCTAATGGGAAGGTTATTAATGCCTTTGCGATAGAACTCCGACGATCTAGACTGCACAAACTGTGTGAAAGCATTTTGTACTGCCTCCTGGGAAGAAAACTTCTTGTCACGTAGATAATTGTCCAAATCACGAAAAAAATGGTAGTCCGTTGGAGCAAGGTCTGGTGAATACGGAGGATGACGAATGGTTTCTAACTGCAGTTCCTGAAGGGTCAAAATGGTTTCTCGTGCTGTGTGAGGTCTCGCGTTGTCGTGGAGCAATAATGGTGAAGATCGATTCATGAGTCGGGGCTGTTTTACTGCTAGTTTTGTCAACATGGTTCGGAGTTCGGCACAATAGACATCTGCCGTTATTGCTTGACCAGATCGGAGAAAACTATAGTGAATAACACCATGCTGAGACCACCAAACAGTTACCATTACCTTTTTATTGGTAAGTTTTGCTTTAGGACACTGTTGTGGCATTTGACCTGGGGTCAGCCATTGCATTTTTCTTTTCCGGTTATCATAAAGAATCCACTTTTCATCACATGTTACAATTCGATCCAATATTCCTTCATTTCTGTACCGGTTCAACAAGGCAACACAAGTTTCAACACGCGTTTCTTTCTGCAGATCAGTCAAATCATGAGGCACCCATTTTTCGTATTTTTTTATTTTATTGATTTGACGCAAGTGAGTCAATATTGTGGGTAAGGTAACGTTAAACCATGCCGCTAATTCCTGGGTAGTTTGACTAGGATCGGCTTCCACTATCTCTCTTAATTCATCGTTATTCACCTGTGTGGGCGGTCTTCCTCGTGCCTCGTTCTTTAAGTCGAAATTTCCATCACGAAAGCGTTTAAACCAAAATCGCACGGTGCGTTCATTAGTAGACCCCTCTCCAAACGCAGCATTGATATTGCGGGCTGTTTCTGCCGCGTTAGTTCCGCGTCGGAACTCGTATTCAAAAATCACTCGAATTTTCGCAGTATCCATCTTTCTTGTCTAAATTGAATAACAAAAACAATTGAAAGTCGATATTCAAATGTTTCAAATTTAAAAAAAAAAAATCACAGAAACCATTTGAAAAAAGTTTCATTCGAAAACCTCAAGCCATGAAGATTCTATGAAAATTCAAAGAACCTATTGCAATAAAACGGCAATTTCATACTTTAACCCCTAATATTACTCTGCACTAAATAAATGAAGAAAACAATAACTGAATGAGTCTCAGACATAAGTTTTTTATACATACTGTGGTGGTAGAGGAACTAGAAGGACGAAAGGTATGCAATCAAAGTCAAAGATTATTTATTCCATAGGTAAAATAAATTTACACTTGAAATCGTCACATTTAAGCTACTGCTCGTTCACTACGCTGAGAAGAACGAGCAAGAAACTCTAGGGATTGCTCTTTTCAAATAAACTTAAATGCTATGGAGTACACTTTGAATCAAATTTGTGTGGATTCTGGAGCCGTGTCGTCTTTCCATACATCTTTATCTAACACGTAGTCTTCAATTTTGTAATATGATTTTTCGATCAAAATATTTTTAATGTAGTTTTTAAACTTAGGAATGATAAACTTAATATATGCTCCGGAATCTTATTGTAAAAACGTATACAGTTCCCCATAAAAGAGTTGTTTACCTTGGTTAAACGAAATCGTGGTACCATGAGTTTGGACTTAGCTTTAAGGTTAATATTATGGATATCTAATTTTATTATAGATTAAGGATATCAAAAAAAGGAGAATGGTGAAGTATAAAAATGAATTTTGTAACAAAAGAACTGAGGTTGTTATTATACAGGTGAGTTGAGTGGTGTCGTGCAAATGAAAGTATACAGTGTAGGTGAAGATAGGAGAAGCTCGAAGCCCGAAACACGAAACATGAAGTTGCGGGCCTCCGCCCTCCAAGGTTGGAGACCGAGGGCGCAGCGGGTTCGTCGCGGAGGCGGTGAGTGGACAGGCTGCACCGACAGCGGCGATAGTGCAGCAGTGGATTTTATCACTATGTACTCAGAGGTGGATTTCTACTTCGTCTTGAGCGTCGGCTTCAGTCACTCCTGCCGCTCCATACTCGTTTGGTGAAAGTGAGATACACAGTCCAGGTAGGAGGAGCGTAAACGTGAAGACCAGGTTTAACGTGAGGCAGTCGAAGAACTGGTCATCAAGCAGGCGCGTAAGCGCGGTAGGAGTAAGGCCTTGTGTAGGACTTCGAAAAGGTGAGACTTCGTGTATTTACTAGGTCTGGTGAAGACCAGATACCTCCAAAATCAGTACAAGAATGACGAGCGTTTGGTAGAGCGAGAAAGACCATCCAAATTCGAATAGTAAATTTTCGACGCTTCTACTGCGAAACGCTTCTACTGCTAAGATTGCAGATCAAAGGAAGAATAATTTATTGTATAATCTATGGAAGAATATATTGTAGAGGTCAACGTTTAAAAATATTAAATAGGAAATAAAAATGTTTATAAAGCGAAACTGATGAAATAGTAGCAATTAGCAGTGGAAAAACGAATAGTAAAATTCGGAGATACTATCAGTACGATAGAATATGCCAGGGTCGGGAGATCAGACATGAAATGTGAGCAAATTGTCAAAGTGCGAGAAATAGCTTGCAATAGCAAATTTAAGCAATTTAGACACTAATATTTTAGTAAATATTAGTTGGAACTCTTTCAGGAATCAGGAAAAGTAAGGGTGTTTACTAGAAAACGTATAATAACAATAATAAAATTTTATTTATTGAGACAACTGAGATCCAATCAAATGTTAGTAGATACAGACTTAAAACTATATTAGTACTTATATTTTACCAGGGACTGTGTATTATGTATTAAGTGCCGCATAATTGGGCACTCATTCCTGTCAGCAACTGTCTTCAGGAGGCTATTGGGGCTGTCACGTATTCTCTTCAGTAGCGACGCCGACTTTTTACATTACAACAACCGTAAAACTATCTACGCGCGCGTCAGTGAACATGGCTGAGGCACTGCAGAAACGTGATAGCCCCAACAGCGTCCTGAAGGCGATGTTGTACTGCACGCACAGAGCACTAAGTGTAACTCTTCCACAGAGCGCTAGTGTACATTGGTGTGCAGTAAGCTTGAAACAATGTTTTCTTAACTGCTGCCGTACATCTGGCGAACCTGCGGGCAAGCATGTTTGCTCTCACCGAGACTGCTCTCCGTTCGCGCTGTATATCCAGGTCATCCTTGAGGTCGTCGGTAACATAGTGTCCCAAGTATTTAAAGTGGCTAACCCTTTTTAACGGAGAACCATTATAGTATAATGAGAGAGATGAAAATTATAGTGGTCCGTAGTTTCACACTACAACTTCGTTTCATCTTTCGGAAAACGGAAGAAACTTCTATCTTTGTCCCGTTTAGATGATGATAAACAGCCATACACAGCGCAACTCACAAACATTATATATAGTATCGTACAATGATGTTATATATTAAACGACGGAGCCATAGATACAAAAGTTGAAGTTGAACGTACTTACAAGTTTCGTAATGAATAAATGAAAACTATATTCAAATATCAAAACCGTCTTAGTGCGAAAACGCTAGCAGACAGCCTTGTTGCCGTTCAGGCAATGTGACTGGCAATGCGCGGGGCGTGTTGCGCTATCTAAAGATAGAGAGGGGCGGAGGGTGTCCGTTCTCATTACTGTTTTGGTCTCTGACATAAGCCTCGATTATTATCGGAACCGATGTCGCCAAAACGTATACAAACAAATGATAAACACTATGAAATCTTAATAATGATTAGTCATAGTTTTAATTTAATAAGATGTAACAAATTCTGGATTG